GACGGCCAAGGTTGAAACATTCACGTGGTTAAGCTTTCTTGATGCTAAAACATTAGTTGCACTAGTTGTAGAGGAATGTATACTCAATGTTTCTGGTACGACATCTTGGAGATTGAGATTGCGTAATGAACTGTTGAAGCTGCCTGGCAGAGGGGAAATGTGTCCTAAACTTGGGTTGAGTGTGATATCAACATTACCTTCTCCAAAGTTTTTTGGTCCTTTATTTCATTTCTCTTGAGGAGAGAGGAGTTAATAACTCCAATGAAGGCAGTTTCCTTTACGCGCTATTCATCTGTAAGCCCACGTTCGTCCTCAACCGAGGAGACCATGGCAATTAATATGCATGACCTCATTTCGTTTTATTCCAATGTTATCTTAACCCTGCTCGTTCTGATGGTGTTGTGATGCAATATTATGTTCTTCTAATTGGTCCGTCACCAGTTGGGAAAATTTTCCCGTATCCATCTTGCACCACCATCAACAACCCAGTATTGTCACCTGCACACCGTTCGCCATTTAATGCCTTCAAAGTTTTCATAAGATTGTGTTGCTTATCGCCGGTGTGAGGTCTGTGAGGCGCGTGTTATGAAACTAAGATTCCCATCAAAATCGTATACTTCGCTCCCTCCAGTTCTGTTTCTCGAGTGAATACGAGTAGACAGAGAAAACTGAGACACATGTCAGTGAGTGAATTTTTCCATCTATCAGATGGTTGCCCAGTTGTGGCGTAACACCTACCCACTTTAACCCGAACCAGCGTACTCCCAAATGTGCCGTTGATTTTGCAACTGGAACGCTGTGCGAGAATGGTGATCAATATGCCTTGCATGCGATCGCTTCACTTTTCTGATAGACTCTGTGTCACCCTTGCAATGTGCTATCTGTATCAGGTTACAAAACATAAAAAAGCAACTAAATTTCACTCATACTAATCAGGAAATCTATCTTAGACATGTGCACTGAATGAGGGGCCCTGATTCTGACATGAGAAGATGTCGGGTGTCTAGCAAGTGTGCTATTCAGATATTGTCAGTTTCAGCATGATCTTGAGATTATCTAACCGGAAAGTTAACGTGGGAAGTTTGAGCCACTGTCATCTTGCTCGAAACTGACTATTCAGTTGATTGCTACTGGACTATGCTACAATGTGAGCCTGAATTTCTCTCGCCAATCAGGTTAAAGTGAAAGGTGTCGCAGATGTGTTATACAGGCATAAATTGTGACTTTGAAGACACCGGTCTAACAGTAGTTCAAATATCCTCGAGGAACGCGACAAGCACAAACAATGTAGATAGGTTGGTGGGCGAGGTTCAGAGAATGACCACAAGAGTTTCCGAATGTCTTCGAATGTGAGTACTGGTCGGCGGGAGTAAACGGGGTTAAGAAAAACGATACAACTTTTGCCAAAAGTCCCTGTAAGACATCAGAAACCAGTGAGGTTTTACTATGCTTCATTCCTGAGTACTTCGTGGAATTAAGGAATCATCCAGTTACATTTATTCACTCGATCAAATAGCAACGAAGCTCCCGCTTGAAGGGTACCGCAGTTCACTTAATGTGCATATAACGGACAACACCATCTTGTTGATATTTCTAAGTCAAGGGATACTCCATCTGTTTTAGCTTTCAGTAATATTATATTTCAGTGCTGTGGAAAGTCAGATATTGATCGCTTATTGATCCATCACAGCTGAGGCCACCGGACAACGTCGCCTTGCCAGTTTTCTAATTGCGCTTGCATGTTCTATGGGATCAAAACGCTCCGAAATCATCATAAATGGCCTTCATGGATGTGCTATAAAGCAATAGCCTCATCCTTTTCTTTGAATGGGGAATTTAATCAAGAACACTCGAATTGTTAATTATTTCGAGGTTTCGTTTGGTTGGAGGTTCTAGCCAAACCCCACGGAACAGTTCTTTTTTACGATTTCGATTTTGAAAACTAATCGCAAACAGTACAGTATGACTGATTCATGTTATGTTAGTAGTATGATTAGGATTTATCAAGAATTCTAACTTTCCAGCTATTTTTGGGACCCGGGGGCAGATACGCTTCCTCCATTTGATCGGTAGTCAATATCCCAGTTTTAGCGTTACCTCCCCTTTTATTAATTCTTATGATTGATCAGTAGCCTTGTGATCGTGCCAGCTCCAAACGCTTGTAGTTTGATTGTATCAATTTTGGCTTCCTTCAGACGTCAACAAGGTATAGAAATACCCCTAGCCTTATACTCACTTTGTGAAGCATCGGAGCATTCATTCGGTATTTGATGAGGCCTTGATGCCGCGCGATACACGCTATCTGACACCCATTGCAAGGTTACCTAATTCCTACTGAATCTTGCAGGATATTGAATCTAACTGTGACAGTACTTTGAGGTTGGAATAACACGTGAGCAATCGATATGAGCTAAGACTTGGTCCGCAAACTGACGATTGTTTGTCACGTCTTGTTTTCTAGTGAATAGCAATCAGTGTTCCTTTTACCCCTTGCTTTTGGGACAAGCAGTACAGATGAAACTGTTAACGGTGATTGAATCGGTCTTAACTGTGACTAGGAGCACGCAGATTCGGATGAAGTTTTCGTGTGTGGAGTTCACTCTTTTTCTTCATAATAACTGAATCGTTCCGGTTACATGGTGAACCTTAACGATGATCCTTTTTTGATTTTTTTCGATAGACAGGGACTGCTTTTAGAATATGTCGTCTTTGTTCGACTGGTGTTTTAATTGGTAATTTCAGTTACTTCAGCCCTCGTACTTCATTCGGTTGGTTTGGAAGCTAGTCACCGAAAGGGTTTTACAGCTGGACGACTATTATTATTAGTTATTTGTACTATTGTACTATTACTTCTCATTGACGAAAAGCTCAATTCGTTCTTCTCATAGTCACGAAAGCTTTTCAAGGCTTACGAACCCTGCTCGCAGTAGTACTACCGTGCTGCGCATGCCAGTCAACCGGATTCTCGAAGGGCAAAACCACATGAAGGATGGAAAAGCCCGGCAATGGCTTGGAAGCGAAGTATGAAAGCCATTACCAGTAAACTCGGCTACGCTGATCATTTCCATCTCTCTGGATGGGGACCCCGAGACAGGCCACATCAATGGTTAGAGACACTGTCAGTCTTGACTCAGTCGCGTTCCCAATGGCGATCGTTCATCCAAGCTATCGCCTTCACTGCATAGGTCCCTCCCCAATCCCTCCACTTGAAAGTCCACTGACAGACTTGTATTTACGCACCGATTTAGCAGTTCCTGCCTCCAATGCGCAGCTACCTCTATGGAGGCAATTGTGGCGGCTACAACCACTGTACAACAAGTACGCGGTTCTTACAGCTAATGATGAGGATGATGATGATGATGATGATAATTATGATAACAAGCCGTCCCATATCTGACTTCCAAAAGCATAAATGATGCACAAATCGTTTGTTTAACTCCTCGTTTTCGTTGCGAGCATTTCACTGTCAATGCAGGTATCCCAATCGATGCATTGCGGTGTTTCAAACGGAGTTGCAAGGGACAGGTTGAGTTCCCAATATTCTGTTTTGTCGCATACCAACAAGTTCTCCCGTTAATCTCTCATTCCTTGCGATGTTGTATTCACATTTATCACCTAAAAGATGCATTACAAAATTCAAGATGACGCCTCGTCAAATTTGCATTCGTGCGTTAGAAATTCACGGTAGAACTTGCCTGTTGTAAAATGTCGCAACCTAGTGTTATCTAAAAATGTGTTCGAACCAACGAAATGTGGACTTCGGTTTGGTTGTATTTTCTTAACGTCATAACCCAGGCTACTCTGATAGCTACTCACACACACCGATCTAATTCTGATATCCCTCAGTCGTATTAGAAAGCTGGTACCCGAGTGGGTATGCTAATCTCACCTCAGTCGGCAAGGAATTGTTGGCCTCCAGAATTAAATGTACCACCGTCAATGAAGGCTGAAATCTATTTGCAATAGGAACCGCATTTGTCTCTCTCGGGATGAGTTCCAAATCCTCAGATGACAAACGAACACACTTACAGCATAGGTCCCAGCTCCTTTTGAAACGTTCACAGTAAACCGTAGCTTATGTTAAACGGGGAAGATGACCTTCACTTGTGAGTCTTGGATGGTATCATTCTATTTCCCTCACCGTTATTCTGAACCTTTTATCACCGAATGAGCAGTACAAGGAAGCTTATGTTAAACGGGGAAGATGACCTTCAGTTGGGAGTCTTGGATCGTATTATTCTATTTCCCTCACCGTTATTCAGAAGCTTTTATCACAGAATGAGCAGCACAAGGAACACAGTTATATTTCCTTGGAATTTACGACTGTGCAGGAATTACAAGATCCAAGATCGCTCTACATTTTCAATGTGACCTATCAGTAATATTTTTCGTACTTGCAAATTTTAGTCTTGGTAGGACCCTCCGAGCATCTGATGAAAGATACTAGAACTTTGAAAGATACAAAGGACTGGGATTTTCCTCAATTGTTGCGCATCTGTATGAAATCAGGTCCCAAAGTTTGCTCAACTCATCGAACAAGCAACTGTTACAATAGTATTCTGTGGTTTACTTGTCTTCATTTGATTAGATTCTCTACACCCTCTTGTGAAAATCAGTCCACAGGTTCAGGATCACACACGATTTATTGTGTCGCAGTTACAGCTGCATAAACGACAATGACCGAAACGAATTGTTCATCTCTCCCCCGGAGCCTTGTATCTAGCTATTTACTACGACCATCGTTCAATGAGAGAATTGCTCGTCACTTTGTTATCGTATCCAAAGTGCAAATTATGTTGTGTGCCCTACCTTGGTGGCCCATTGGAGACTGACAGTAGGCACCCGATCACTCTCACGTTCGAGCGCGCGCGCGCGCGCGACGTTAAAAGTCTGTCGCTGACATGCGTAAACAAAATGTCACGCAACCCCGGTGTGCCATCTGCTTGTGTTTAACGCTCGCGTGCGACGAATGTAGTGTCAATAGAAAATCTAAGCTTTTCTCAACTGTAAGAACTTGTCTGATGTGGGAATTCGGTTTCCCGGTCTTTACTGAATTCATACTGATTCATATTTGGCTGAGGTGTGGCGAACACAAACCAAGGTGCTGTCATTTGTAGGAGAAAGGAGAATTGGTCTTAGGCTTCCACCGTTTTCTGGGTACTCAGAATGCTGCATTCTTGAGTGCCTAGATATCCAGAGGTACTTTTTTTTACAAATCATGTATTCGAATCAAACGCACATACAACATTGCACGTTTGCAGAAGACATCTGTAGCCTAGGCTCAGTTGATTCTCAAGGCTCTGCAGCTTATCAGATGGACAAATCTGCGGTTCTGAACTGTATCCGAGATTCTGCCCCGTACGTCCAAACTTGGGTCACGTTTCGTATTCCTCTATATCGCCTGATTAGGACCGCCAATGAGGACGGAGGTTATCGTGTGGTTGAGCTTTTTTGAAGTCGGCGAGCATCCTTACTGTAAGCAAGTAAACTCTGCTTCATGTCTATATGTGGATCCGGCTTCTTATTGGGTCACCGTTTTGATTGGAAAACGATTGCATGCCGGATTCCATAGGGCGCGAATGGTTGATTGTTATTTTGAACTGATCAGCAAGAAGCATCAGTCAACATGCTTTCAGTTTCCGAAACAACGCTTGGAGGTGTAAGCACTTCAGAGTGCTTGCAAGGGGCCGGAGCCAGGTCCTTCCCTCACTCACTTTTTTCCTTCTCAATTTAAGACTTTAAGTACGGATAAGTAGGCAGCGAAGCATGACAGCGAAGCATCAGTGTCAACACTAACGTCGCCGTCTCCGATGATGGTGATGCTGATTTTAAGTGTTGAGGTGAGTGGCCACGACATGTCATCAGTAATCCTCCAGATGAGCAGTCGCAGCTGTTCCTATGCTTCTGCGTTCCCTACTTTTCATTCCCCATAGCTTTAGAGTCATTCCTTTCGAGGGTTATTACTTCACTCTTATGGTATTTTTATATTTTGCCTAACTCTACAGTACCAAATCACCCCCCATTCGTCCACTGATTTTCGTTAAGTAAAGAATGGGCTATCCATTCATTTAGGTGTGATGCTTACGCTTGCGGTTTTTGTTAGAAATCCACTTTTACTGACCTGTTGGTGTTATACCTATTTTTGCGGTAGCTGAAGAAGAGGCGGAACGGAGTTCCCAAAAATTATCAGGTGATGGTTCGGCCCAGGTGCTCTATTGCTGAGATGTTCCTTGTACTTCAGGTGATTCCTACTGGTGTAGAAAATAGTAGTGGCGACGTTGTTACACCAAAATTAGTGATAGTAATCGTTCAGATGTAACAACTCGTAGCTGCTGTGCCACCCGGAGGAAGCACGATGGCTTGGATAATGCCAAGTTGTCCAAGCCTAGGCAGGGAAGTCGAGAAGCAGAGATTGGGATCGAACCACGGGCCTTCGTTCAGTAAATTCGTGCTCTAACCACTGACCCATCTCGCCCCCAAGCAAGTTGGCTGCAAACGTTTCGTCACCAATCCAGTTGATACCATCAGTGCGCCCTGCATTCAAGTCCAGCTGCCCGTGCTTTCGAAAGACGCCTCCTAGTTTTACGCTTGAATATTGAAGTGGAACATCTCAACTAAGGATTTCCAGAAAGTATTTCTGAAACGAGAACTTATTGTGCGTGTCTAAATTCTCGTGCAAACAACGAAGTTTGCAACTATCTGGCCTATCAAGCAACGAATGGCTCGCTATAGGCTTCCTGGACAAATAGAGTTAGTCATCTGGTTTGCTTTTTTGGAACTCAGGAAAATATCGACTGTTGTGTTCCCCTTAGGAGAACTTGTCCTCGCATTAAATACTCCGATTCATGACCTCAATGTGAACAGTGTTCGAGATGAGAATACGAATTTCGGAATGCATATTTTATTCAGCTGTCCCGAAAAGATCAGTTCTAGAGTAATAAACAATAAAAATAATAGTCGTCCAACCGTAATGTCCTTTCGGTGCTTGGATGTCGTATCACCAGAAGGAGGCAACACGGCTGAGGTACTGTCAGGCCAGACAGGAGCAGTAAAAATATTGAGGTTGGGTTTTAAACTACGGAACTTCCCGTCATTAGATTCGCGCGTCAACCACTGAGCTGTCTCAATCTCGTTAGCACGTGTGTTAGTACGATCAGTATTTGGACTCTATTAATATACATTTATAGAGAGCGAGATGGCTAAAGTGGTTAGAGCGCGAATTTTCTGACCGGAAGATCCGTGATTCGAACCCGACCTCTGCCTCTCGATTTTCCCTGTCTGGGCTTGGGCAACCTGACAGTATCCCAGCTCTCGTGCTTCCTTCGGGTGGCATGGCAGCTCGGCACCGAAAGAGTGCTACAACTGAACGATTAGTATACATTCATAAGCAAGTAAACATCATTGACTCTCTCTTGACCAGAGGTGTTTGATGAATAGTTAAACTGAGGCTCGTTTAGTTGATTCACGTTATCACAAAGAAACAAAAAGATTGTACAAAATATTTACGGGAGCCTGTCATTTTCTAATCACATGTAAATGTGGTCGAAATTATTGTCACTGGATCTGCTCCACTTGGGTTAAACGCATGGTGCTGATGGCCAATTAATCTCGCGTTTCATTTGCACTCTTTCGGAATGATTACTTCTTAGGCTGTTCTGGGCCTTTCCAAAATGGATGCTCTTTTATTCGTTTTTCATTTCTAAGTTCTTCTCCTTTTACGGCTTTTCATAGAAAATTGCAGGAGGAATAATCAACTCCTGTCGGAACATCACATGCAGCTAAGAGTGCTTCCCCCACCAAGCTTTTGGTATTCCATGAATCCGCCGCGTTCTCTCGCGTGCGTGCATTGTACTTTCCTCTAATGGCCATACGACCCATATCGGGTTCTACCTAATTTTGGTGAGCCAACAGCATAAGCCTTGCCCGTGCGCTCGTGTCGGATTTTTGTTGAAACCTTTGCGCTTGCCAGGACTATGACCCAGTTACTGGACATCACGTGTCCCATTCTATCGTGGGCCAGATGACAGTGCCGGCACATTGGTTGAAGTGTCCTGGATGCCGGTTTTAATGCGCTTCACTTGCCCGCGTGCTGTCCGAATCACAGGCCAGGCAATCGAATCCGGTGCGGGCGAGTGTGGCAAAGTGACGAAGCCATTCCGACCACGTCCCGATGAATCGAATCGACTGGAACATCAAGCCTCCTCATACTAGCAACAATTTCTAAGTAGTTCAGATGGTGGGAGGATTGACAACGTTCTGTCTCGAGGACCACTGTTCCACTCGAGGACCTTGTCAACACATGGCCACCTTACGTGAATCCCGCGATTGAAGGATGAGTGACGCTCTATCCAGTGTTAGCTACTTACACTGTTTATTAGCCACTCATCGCCGTCGCGATTTCGAATCATCCGGGAGACGCGTAAGATGCACGTTACCAACGATTTCCAAGGATGAACATGCTCTACAGAACTTTCCAACATTTTGACACAGATCAGCTTCACTTACAGGACGAAATGTTGAGTAGTCATTGGGACTCAACTACAGATTGAACAGTATTGTCTCTTTTGCATGCGCTGTAGTGATGCGTGGCTCTTTTCAGATGATTTTCTAGTTCGAACTGATTGAAATATGGTCCAGAGATGGCGAGGTAGCTCAAGTGGTTAGAGCGCGAATTCTCTGACCGGAAGGTCCGTGGTACGAACCCGACCTCTGCCTTTCGACTTCCCCTGTCTAGGCTTGGGCAATCTGACAGTATCCCAGCCCTCGTGCTTCCTTCGGGTAGCATGGCAGCTAGGCACCGGAATGGTGTTACAGCTGAGCGATTTTTTCCGGAAAGATTTGACCGGTGAATCTGCGACACGAAAATCGAGTAAAACGAAAGCGGAACTGGTAATTTTTTGATTACAGGGGTTCGCTTCGAATACGCAGAGAATATACCAACAAACCCGACCGGGCGAGATAAATCTATCCAATTCGTATTCCGAATCTGTGAAAAAAACAAATTCACTTTGGTAATCCGACATTCTCATCATATTAGTTTTCCACTGAGTGTGGAAGAACTGAGAGTTCTATTGGTATTCACCAGAGACGTCACTCACCGACAATTTCAGGTTTCATTCTTTCTTCGGCAGTGTGCGGCCTAATTTCTAATTAGCGGATTGACCAGTCTGTTTTTTCCCACAAGATGTTTTGTTGTGCATTTGGTTTTTCCCGACGAATGCTTCGGGCCAATCAGCAAGTGAAGTTGTTACAATAGATTGGACTGACTCTGTCTGTCCGTTTTTTTTCTCTAGTCAGACGCTGGAATTATTGGGTTATAACTTCAAAATATTTGCCCGCCGAAATGGTTGGGGCGGCTTTGTTTCTAATTGTCGGTTATCCACAAAGATGACAGCTGTCGACTTATGTGGCAACGCCGGTCGGTATCATCAGCTGATCGGAAGATGAGGACCAAAATGAGGGTAGGAATACGGGTGGGAGGAGTTCGAGGGGAGAAATCGATGCGATGAAATTACTAATGTGCATACTTCGTCCGAAGCTCTGCATCCGCATTTCTGAAACACTTACCTGTCTTGAATACGCAAGAGACGTGGGGACGACATCCTGATTAATACCATTCCCCTCTCCTGAAAGGGTACATCAATAGAGCAAGTGGATATCTGGTATTACTATCAGGAAATAAGTGGGAGGGTAGTTTTCTTGTTTCTAGGCTAAATAACCCGCCATCATTTGGAACTACAGAGGGAATAGATGTACGAACTTATTTGTTGGCCGACTGAGGGATACGTTAGTTGATACTGGTTGGTGTATCAACTTTTGGTCAATGACTCATCGCACTGGTTTGTCATATTTGCTCTTCATGTGCCACGGTTAATCACGTGATATGCTTAGGCACTCGTGACCACAGACTGACTCAAATTTCTAGTTATTGATACACTGCATAACCAGACACCAATATCTATAGCGCTCGTATTTCTCTTGGTTCCACGGCGATGCGCTGGATAAAAGGTATGTTTTCCCGTCGCACATTCGGAGATTGTCAGGGTTCGAGATGGCAAAGGAATACCCAATTTCCTCACATTGCCGTGAATCAACAATCAGCACGGAAGGAGGATAATTTTACTGGATGTGCAAAACTTTTTCCTCAGAAGTCGTCAATACGTGATCACGTGATGTGACTTCCCTTATTGAGAGCTAATCACACTGCCGATCAGCTACTACTCATGGCCAAACTCTTAATCGTCCAACCGCTGGCCAGAAGGTCACCAGTTCGTAATTCTCCGGTTCACTGGCAGGATGAAATACTTAGAACTATGTCTTCATTGACGGCGATAAGTCTTTACTATGAAACATATTTTGGACTCTTTTCGAACATGGTAGATTCTCTCCAAGACAATCACTAAAGTGACCAGCCGAAAACGGTTACTCCAGACAGGCGAATGGCGCAAGATTTGTTTTGATCTGAGGGTCTTTCGCGAACTGAAATGTATCCTCACGTGCCGTTTGATTTGTATTTTAATTCCAGCAGAGGTCCGTCCGGCTGGTTGCGTTCGGACATGTTCCTCGCAGCTTATCGTGGGAATTTATTGTCTTGGACTTACAACATTGATCATAGTCAGTTACTAAGAGTACATGTCTCCTCTAAACGGTTGTTTCAAGTACCAGTTCGAGATGGCTCATGGTTATGGCATGAACTTTCTGACAGGAAGGTTCACGGTTCGAAACCGACCTCGGAATCTGGACTTCTCCTGGCTGGGTTTCGGCAGCCTGGCAGTATCTCAGCCATCATGCTTCCTTGAGAATGTCGCATGTGAGCTACTTACCAAAAGGGTGTTGCAGCTGAATGGCTACTTCTAAAGATTGCTTACCGATAATCAAGCGTGGCAAAGTGGACTCAATCTTTTACTCAAACCAGACAAGCTAGTCCTAATTACCCACCATTCAAGAATGGATCGTTTATGGTACTCCACCGATAGAGTACATCAATCCTCCTCTTCTGAGTCCCCACCTTTACACGTGATCCACAAGGATTCACAGTGGAATGTAAAAAAAATCGAAAAGTAGTTTCCCACATAGGGCGAACACCCGGAACTACAGGGAGCTCTATCAAAACTTGCCTTATTAAAGATAGTGCACACTAGGGTTTGTTGCCACCCCGACACGACCTACACATATTCATCACATCAACCATACTATGCAGCCAGGGGAACGGATGTGGAAAAAAGCTTGGGTCTTGTTTTTCACACGGACGACTATTGCAGAAACGTCGAGGCGCAGAGGGTTCCAGAGGAGACACCATCACCAGCTTGGGTATTGTCAGTCGACTGTGTAACATGGACAGTGAACGGACGATCAGTCAATGTGATCGTTTACATTGAATTCGTTCTAGAAAATCGTAAATGAGGCCCAGAGGATGTGAGCAGAGCTGATGCGATTGAGTGGTAATCGACAAGAAATTGAATACCGTGTTGTGTGGTTTGCGGGATGTAGTATTGTCCACTTTCACATCACTCTCCTTTGAACAGTCATCCTCCTGTCCTGTTCACCCGTTCAGACATGAGAATTCAGATACGTCCAACGTACGCTGGTGGAATAGTGGCAACACGTTCGCCTCGCATGTCAGCTGTCCGGAGTTCAAACCCTGGCACGGCCATTGGATATACACCGCTGATGACCTCTAATAAGAGCGGAACTCGAGTTCAGTAATTCGCCCCCTGTGATGTGGATTCACCAGAATAATTGCGCCAGGACAGGAGGACGACTGTTCAAACAAGAGTGATATGAATGTGAAGAATTGAATACCATTGTACATAAAACTGTTGGCACGGAGTGTTCTAGATGTAATGAAAACCGGCTTAGGTTTGAGTGTCTTCCCCATTTTTTTCTTGATACTGTTCAATCGGCTTGTCTTACTTTTCTCTGCATGCGATTTCTGAATCACATAACTACCTCCTCCGCAAGACTACCCCCTTACAAGTACTGCATGGTTTTACATGTGAATGAAACTGATGGGTTTTTTAAATTCCACGACTGAATTTGCCCGTTCTTTGGGGAAGCAGACTTCCACCATAGAAAATACGGACTCTGTTGACGTGATCACTATCCAGATGTTGATTCGAAATTCACAGTAACTTGCAATTTACTGGTTGAAATGTTCCGCCAGGATGCAGAGAAGCTTTGAATCTTTCTACTAGAGTATGCTTCAGTTTCTTAGCTCGTGTATTAGGTTATCCTTGTTTCAAAAGTTCTCTAAAATCATACGCTTGGTTTTGTTCACACTAACAATCACACGATGGCAACCGATTAACTGTGTGTCAATGCCTTAGAAGCAAAATGGATCATTTTTGAAAGCCGGTTCCACTCGCCGATTGCCTGATGGGGGCTGAATTAGACTCACTCGCTCACTCACACACACATGCATGCACTTCAAGGTCGATCCGCAAGGTCGATCTGCAACTTGAAATCAAACACCAGGGTGCATAGCAAAATTCGCGATTGTCAAGGCCTGTTTCACGCAACACATACTGTCTCTTCAGGCAGATAGAGATCAACATAGCTATTTGCACTCAGATTACCATCTCTGACAACACAGTGTTTTATGCCTACTCTGGAGATGCAAACGTGAGACGTGTAGCGTAAACAGTATTGAGATGGCATTCAATGATCAGAGAGATAACCCGTTGGTAGGTAGTAGAGGGGTAGATTGCGGCTTTTTTAGTAGAAAGAGCGCCCGGAATTATCGATTTCGGAAGGTTGTCACTTTGATCGTGTGTGTTGACAAGTTCTTTCGGGTTCACTCGACACTTGTGGCAGAACTAGGCGTGTCACTTTGATCGTGTGTGTTGACAAGTTCTTTCGGGTTCACTCGACACTTGTGGCACGTGGAACTAGGCGTTGAGCTGCTCTTGAACTTCGTTACAAACGATGATTTCCAACACAGGCACCAGAATCCGCTACTTCTTTGTGCTTTAGTGTCACATTCCAAACAGCTGAAGAAGCATTTTATAGAGCATTTTGCGTTCTACGTAGATTGTATTGGTTCTGTTGGTAGTGTGCATTGAGTTTCTCAAGTCCAGAAATTTCCGCTGATCCTCAAACGTTTCGTATTATGGTGTGGAGGATGATGAGGTCAACGCTCTGCAGGTGGAGGATCTAGGGTGTGTTCATCACCAGTTTTCCTGGAACTGTGGCTAAAACCCGGTGACAGTGGAAAACAGTTCTTTGGTTGAACCTTTGCTTCCAGAATTGCTTAAAAAATTACCCGACCTTCAGGTGTGTTTTGATTGGCGTCTTAGCTGTTCTTGTATCCAGTCGCCATATGGATGGTTAGGTGGAACGTTGCAGCTGTAGACGGGCCAGAATGTTTGCAGAGGGGACTAGCACGGGCATCCCTCATGGCACAGTTTATTTTACACTGCCTGTCTGACACTAAAACGCTCGTATGAAGCAAAGATAATTATTCAGCTGTAACATCCTTTCGGCGCCTAACTGCCATGCCACCCGAAGGAAGCACGAGGGCTGGGATACTGCCAGGTTACCCAAGCCTAGACAGGGGAAGTCTAGTGGCAGAGGTCGGGTTCAAACCACGGACCTTGCGGTCAGTAAATTCGCGCTCTAACCACTTGAGCCATCTTGCCCCTTGCATGAAATACCAGTATTGCTACCCAAATAAAGGCGGAGATGCGGATGATTGCGTGCTGATCGTGATGATGATGGCGATGATTAAGAGAGAAATGTTCATGGTGATTTTCGGATCTACAAAGTGCAAAGTTTTTGGTGAACAAGTGATTCAGTCTGTTCTAGAAGCCAAGAAGCACGGTTCCACGGGCAGCTTTTGAACTGAACTTATCCGCCTTTTTCTGCACGAACACAAATCATCTGTAGGCTTATCGTGCAACCAGCTCACAGTTCATTTCCTCGGCGGATTTTCTGGCAAACAAAACACGCTGCGTCCATTTTGTTGGCGTGAAACTCACAGTCCAAACAACATCATTACGAATACTGTTTCCAATCGGACAACAACTGCCGTCTGTTCGGTAAGGGTGCGTTAGGGGTTCGATGTGTAGGCGGTGTGTTATAAACACATGCAAATAAGGGTGCACAATAGGTTTTCTGGCTGACATCCTTTCGAATTCGGTTGCCATGACAATGGCCAGCTATTTTCAGTGCGTGCCTCTGTTTTTACCCCATGTACCAGGTACTTTTCCGTAGTCACCTTTCCGTCAGTCGAGGCGGGAGAAAATTAGCTTTTATGTCATGATTGCACGTACCGTGATATTTAATGGTATGGTTATTTCGGTAGCAAAATTCCTGTGCTTTATCAGTGTAAGATCATGGTCGATAATAGTACGACAGCTACGGACAAAAATGAGCCTGACCTTCCTGTTGTGTAAATTCTGGTCAAGCAATCCGACGGCGTCCATGGTTAGAGAATAATTTCAACAATTTTGTCAAAGAGACAAGTAGCAAACGAAAGTTTGGTTGTGAGACAGAGGCGTTACTCGGCATCAAAAGCTGTGGTGATTAGATCGTGTGTTGTGTGTGCGGAAAAGAATGCTGTTTTCTGTGCCCAATTCAGAGTGGCGCTAGCAGAGAGGTGGTCAACCTTTGGCCTGACCAGAGGGGTATGATAGCGAGTTGCCCTTTAGGTTGGGGTGCATAGCGTGTTCAGAATGACCACAATAAGCGGCAGGTGTATACTGACAGCTTTTTGGTTTGTAAAAGGGCCGTTACAGCCTGCTAAGTCCATAGCACGCTTTTTCTCCATACTTATTATCCTCATAAATCCGCGCTGGGTGATACCTATTGCTGGAGCCCCCCTAAAACAGCTGTTCAGCTATAGCACCCTTTCGGTGTCGAACTGCCGTACCACCCAAAGGTTACAAGAGGGCTTGGATACTGCCAGGTTACCCAAGTCTAGACAGGGGAAGTCGAGAGGTAGATGTTGGGTTCGAACCACTGACCTTCCGGTCGGTAAATTCGCGCTCTCATCACTTGGGCCATCTCACCCCCTTAAAACATGCGCGGTTATTTATGAGGGAAATATAACAGGGTAAGTTAGTTTTAACGGAAGACCTAACTGAATGTGCTACACAGGGTACCGTGTTTCACTTCGTACCATATCCGAGATATCGCAATGGAACGGTTAAACGTAGCGCAAGGCTGCTGAAAACTTGTTAACAGCCCACAATCTGTTTTGTCCTTCTTGAAGCTCATCAATTGAACGCAATCACCGAGCTTCCATCAACCTTATGTTCTGCTCAAACCCAAATTGTAAGAAATACGCACATTGCATTTATTTGCACACCAATTTGTTTTTCTAAACCACAGGGCTGAAAAGTGGCCATCATGGTGCATGTCCGACAATAGTCCATCTGCTTTAATTGCCCACTTCAGTTGAAGCTGCTGCAACGCAGCTCTGGTGAATTTGAAAACGGAACCTAGGTACACAAGTAGGTTGAACTAGACTAGCCAACGGCTTCAGGATGGAAACCTGTGTGTAGCCAGCCCAGCTTCGAGGGCTTCTCACGCGAGAACGTGATAACTGAACGATCCAACACTTGCCGTTGTTTGTTCGGCAGGTTCAGGTACTGTGGCAATGGCGTGGCAACATTTGAAGACTCCTCACAGAGTCAGATCAGCCCGTCGAGGCGCAGTGCTCGAGAGCGCTCAGTGTTTGTGATTTCTAGGAGCTAGTCAAACCAGTTCGCATACTACCATCATATGGTGGTTGCAATCAGATCTGACTGCATTCGATCACATTAGGCTATATTTGTGACAAACCAATGTTGAAAACAAACGACGGAGTGTGTGTGTGTGTGCAATAGACTGTCCTGGTTGCGGGAACATTCAGTGGTTTAAATTCCCAAAGCTTCTATGGATATGTGCAATGGTGGTGAAGATGCAATCATAAACCGCTTTCAGCTTTCAACTGGGCGACTTGGAATGTCACTGAGAATAACTAAGCCTGGGGTCGAAAATGGCCGGCTGAGAGGGAACTGTCTATCTGTCTATCTAATGTTCAAGTTTTTCGGACCAGTTGTGCTGCTACAACGGTTCGCATACTTCGTTGTGAATGTGCTGTCTTTTTTGTCCACATTTTCTCCTGATGAAAGCGGAGAGCAGGTTTTCTACTCCACCCATCCAAAAAAGCACACATGGATTGTCCAAAGCAGGTTTTGCATCCCAAATTTCGCGCATGCTTAGGCCTAAGTGAGAAGAGCAAGCCAAAAAAGTCAGGCAGAATCTTTTCCTACAAGACAGTAATGAAGCAAAGGCACTCAGGCACAATCCGAGTCAGCTGTTAGCGTGATCTCATCCTGCCAATGTGGCAACACAGGGTTAACAGTATATCGAAATACTTGGTATCGTTAATCGATTGTAAGTCGGCTGGCTGTTGATCTGTTGCCCGATCTTGGCAGTCCAGTCCGGAAATCAAACAGTGTAGGCGCTGGTAGCCGGACTCTTGTATGAGACTTACCCTCTAACCCAATAAAACCGTAGGATGCGGGTTGATAGGACGTTGTTCCAAATAATGAGTGGTTCTCAATCAGGGGCTTTCTTCCCGTGCTAGGGGGGAGAGTGGGCTCTTTTCTACAGGGAGTATTTTGCGCCTCATTGTGACTAAAGGAGAATGCTGTCAGTGACTTTTCAC